AAATGTACAACGTTTCGATGATGACAAAACCTTGTCGAAACGTTGTACATTTGCTGTTATGTTAAACATATATTAAAGTTTTTCTTCATTACCCATTCAAGCCGTCTCCAACCATTAAAAATAAGTATATATGTGTTCCAGTCTAATTATAGAAAGTACGAATAGGTACCATTGCCAATAATATAAGCATTCCTGAAAATTAACATTTGACTATCGTCTATTAGTTGTTTAAAATCCAATTAAATTCTACATCTAAATATTTTGTTAGTATCTATTTAGCGTTCAACGTATAAACTATCATTTTAGGCTAATAGAAATTTTACATTCAACGTCAATGCTCAAACCATGACAAACATAGTTTGTGTAGTGAATTCCATTGCTTAGCCTAGAAACAATTGCAAATGGCGGTTAACTAACACAAGAAAGCAACTCTGTAATGTATAAAGTTATTAAAATTCATAAAAAAATTGAATACAGGTGTTTCAAATCTTCTGTAGTTTTTAAATTTTGGCTTTTTAATATTTTAGCAATTTTGTTTCAATCATTGACCTTTTGACCTATATTTTTATCCAATTTATGATACTTTTAAGGGAACAAAATAATTTACACCAATGATTATTACTTTAAACTCGAAAATTAAAATATTAATAATATCATTTGATATCAACTTAATAACAAGTTTAAAGTGTGACTTTTTTATAAGCTGCCGGCCATCTTGGATAACATCTTGTAAACATGTAGTTTTTGCAAGAACTTCATGAAATCCATAATTGATTTTCTTCATAAGCAGGATCTGTTCTCAAACTTCATGCAAAAATAATTTGTATAATTAAGGCGGACTAGTATTTTGCTGTTTTTGCAAATTTCTTGAATGTAACTTCCTGGCTATATGGTGTTTTTTGTTGTTGTTGTTGCTGAAAAAGAAAAGCTTATAACATTTGCTATTCAGCTTAATTTTATGATTCGTCTAAACGTTTGCATATCAGATTCGCAGGTCAAAACCTTCACCTGCACAAAATTAAACATAAATCTGATACCTTTTAAGCCTAAATTTGGTCTGGATGTAGCTTAATGATTAGCGATCATATGGGGATTGCCCGGCATGGCCAGGTGGTTAGGGTGCTCGACTCGCAATCTGAGGGTCGCGGGTTCGAATCCCCGTCACACCAAACATGCTCGCCCTTTCAGCCGTGGGGGCGTTATAATGTGACGGTCAATCCCACTATTCGTTGGTAAAAGAGTAGCCCAAGAGTTAGCGGTGGGCGGTGATGACTAGCTGCCTTCCCTCTATTCTTACACTTCTAAATTAAGGACGGCTAGCGCAGATAGCTCTCGTGTAGCTTTGCTCGAAATAAAATAAAAAAAAAATCATATGGGGATTGGGCTACCAAACACGCATCGCCTTTTTCAATAGTGGGTATGACATAAGAGTGACATTCAGTCCCGCTATTGGATTGAAATTAGCCATTGCAAATGGTAGGTACTGTTGACCGGTTGCCTTCCCTCTGGTCCACAGTTCAATATTATGGACGACAGCTATGCCTCATCCATAGAGGTCTCTGACCTGGCCGTTTAGCTCATCAGGTACATAAGGTGTCGGTCAGGTGAATATACAAATAATCCTCAATATTATGAATTATCATTTTCTGTGGTGACGTTGCTTTTGTTGTTTTAGCTCAAAGCCACAGAATGGGCTATCTGCATTCTGCTCAGCATGGGAAATCAAACCGAGGACTTGCTGTGGTGAAAAATTTTACTAGAACTCACTTTGAAGACAAAGTATCACGTGTTTCTGAGATGATTTCAAAACGAAATCTAAAAGGTACATGTAATACAATGTAAGAGTAGTATTAATCTATAATGATTTGCAGTCTAAGTTAAGCATAGTATTTATATATACTCATACGCGAATGAAATCTCATTTAATTTTCTATGGCTATTTTTAAAAGAATATCGGAATGGACTGTCACTCTTATGTCGCACTCACAGTTGAAAGTGATGCGTGTTTGGTAGCACCACGTCTCGAAACAGAGATCTTCGGGTTCCCCCAATCAGTTCGCTAACCACTAGGCCACGCTTAAGCCAATATTTAGGCTTAAAAATATTGAAACTATTTCAGGTGTTAATATTCAAACGATTTTTTTAAAAAAGTGAAACTGGGAAAATCCAAGTTTATATTAAAATGAAATATTAATAGTATCACTGACGAAAAACATGTAAAAAAGTACCAAGATCTGACAACTTCACAAACTGCATCTTTAAGTTACTGTACATACTTCTTTAAATATGATTATTACTAACTACAACTTATAATGAACAACACTCGAATGCTTTTCCGTCTGCAACAGCGCAAAGTCTGGTTATTTAAAAATATCTCGTCCACCAAAACTAATCATCAGGGAGAAATGTGCGTGTACAATCGTTGGTTTGAAAAGTCAAAGATATAATTCCGAAATAGAAATTAGAACAACGCCTCGGAATTTGAACATTTTTACGAATACAAGAAGCCACCCCCAAAACAAAAATTAAGGTTGTACGTGCCATATAATGTACTACAGCGAAATGTACTCAAGTCTGTTTGGTTTGTGTTGATTTTAATACAACAATGTTAATCCAGTCATCATTCACTCAGGTATTAATTTATGTATAACATATTTTTCTATCTCTGAAAAATAAAAGGGCTAAGACATAATTACGTTTCTTTTTCCATCTTTTGAAGGCACTCAACTCTTTTATTCTTTGTTTTTGCTCATTATGAAACCGAGGCATTATCTTACTCAGAATGGACCTTTAATATATATATATCGCTTGTAGTTGCGATAGTTATCTTTAGAAGAAAAAAAATGTACCAGAAGGAAGAAATCATCGAATGTGATATAGCTTAGATATTAACAAAGGTTACATACGAGTCAATTAACTCGTCTTACCTCTGCCTAGCTAGTGAGTAGCCAACAACGTAAAGTTCCCACGTTCCCAACAAGCAACTTAACTGCCCATCCATTGCTTCCTCAAGGCTGCCAAGGTGCAGGTTGTAATATATTTTAATGATGTGTCCAGGACGTCGCAAACGATTGGTAAGTTCAAATATATATCTTAATTTTACAATTTAATATCATTAGATCAATAAGGAATTTGATACATTTTGTTTTCTCTTTGATATCATATAATGTTCTGGAATTAAGTAAGGTATCGATTAGATGCTCAATCTCTTTTTTTTTTAATATGTTTTAGTGATCTTTTTACGGACTTTATGGAAGTTTTGGTAGTGAGAAGAACAGATACAGAATAATCAGCCTCTAGTGTTAGAGAAGTATTATAAAAATATTTCAGAATTTGGGTGTTGTCTAAGAGGTTTCATCTCCTCTACGAATATACTAGAATTAATAATGTTTAGCATGTTTAGATGTATACTAGAATATTTCTCTTATATATCCGGACATCTTGTAATGGTGAAAGTCTGCCGGTACTCACCAAAACTTAGTACTACCGATCCTTTCGAAAATTCAAATGGAGTCCTTTTTTTTTTTGAAATCTGAATAGTGTTTTTTTTTTTATTTTTAGATTCCCCTCTCATTTTTAATAATTCTATATATTTAATACATAAAGAGGTAACAAAATTCGTGATACTCAGCCCCCCCCCCCCAGTGGCACAGCGGTATGTCTACGGACTTACAACGCTAAAATCCTGGTTTCGATACCTGTGGTGGGCAGAGCACAGATAGCCCATTGTGTAGCTTTGTGCTTAACTTCAAACAAACAAACAAAATCGTGATACTCCAAACGCTGTGAGGCTAGATCCTGGCAAAGATGAGCACCCAAGCTTCTTTAAGAATTTAACCACCGAGTTTGTGTAAAAATACCCGCAGTATGAGGCTCAATGAAAATGTTTGAAACACTTTGATTTTCCTGGAAAAACATTAGGCTTGTTTCATGTTGACAAAATCACTATCAAACTTCAAGTGCCAAGATTTTGTGCATAAAGATGCTTTTATGTACTCTGATAAACCAGTTAATTTCTCGTGACTCGACAAAAGGACAATTTCTTGAGATTCGTTAAACTTCAGAAGGTAATTTGCTATTTGATTTGTTTTTACTTTCTATGTCTAATTGTTCTCTTTCTATTTCTCTTACACACCAGATGCTGAAAGTAACATACCGTACAGCTTTGAATGTGAGTGTATATCTCGTGAGCCTGTCGACGTCCTTCTTCGCTGTATAATACTCTAAAATTATACATTTTAGAACTATCTTAAAACTGACACTAGTTTCTACGTTTGAGTGTTGTGACAAAAGCCTTGCCACTTCCCCTCGTCTCTAACCAGTTCTTCAGAGGTATATTCTACTTTATACTGTGCACAGAGTAAAATATTCGTAGTTGACATCGAATTAGATTCTCATCTCAACTGTATCTTCGTACGTACGTTAGAAGATATCTCGTAAAGTGATGATGACGTAATCCGATCCTGTTTCATTTTCACAGTTTTTCTTCCTGGTGATAAAAGTTAAAACGCTCATGTTCGAAGTTGCAATTTCTACACTTTCAGAAGCCTAATTATATTCTTTACACAATTATACAAACGTGTAAAAGGTCCCTCTCTGTAGTAAATACAGTTTTGAACTGCCTTTAATAATGTGCAGTCTTCCTAGTATTATTTACCTGCTAAAATTTAGAATAACAAATGTCATTCCTTTCTGATGTTGGAAACTTGAGTTTAGTAGTACAGTGCTAGTTTATATCATTTACTTCAAGCCCTAGTTGTACTTCAGTATACGAACATTAATCTTAAGATAAAAAACATTACACCATTTTTATTTTTAGGTAAATACCAATTGAATTTCTAAAGAAATAATTTCTACCTCAGTTGTGTTTTAGTTTTGATAACAATGTTCTTCCTGGTTCAATGTGTATATTACAAACTGACGTTTTCTTGCAAAAACTAACCTGTTTAATTATTTTGTATTATCACTCAAAATATATGACATTTCGGATCGAAAAGTTGAGCTCTAATGTGAACCTTGTATTCCAGTTTGTGATTCTATTTTTAATTATTTCTATTTCAGAAAAGAATACTGTTACGTCTCCGTTTGTTAATTGATTTTCCGTAACTTCGTTCCGACGAAACTTAAGCGACACAATTTCTTTCTTAATAAAAACTGGTTTATTCTTTCCGAATATAACTTTACCGATACACTCAACTTCAACAATCGCGCTAAACAAACGCTGTAACGTCTCTCGTGCTCTCTGACTGCAGTTCAATTACTCACTGCCTACACACACATTACAT